TGCAGCTACCTCTGAAATGCTTTGTGATGGATCTGCTTCCACAATAGCCTTTAATTCTTCATTTTCCACCACGGGGTTGGTTCTGAAGGTCGAAATTTGCGGAACGGAAACCTTGAAACCAAAAACGTACCATGCTTTCTTTTGAGATACTGGCGCCGTACACATCATCAATCCTTCGAGCTGTTTCTGCAGCACTGGTGCCATGGTAGAACTCTTACTCGTAAATATACCGATATTTCATGTTTTCCATTATGCTGTAATAAGTGACGCCAAAGAAAAAAAATGAGGAAAACAAATGAATGACTGTTTTCAAAAATCAAATTTTTTTGAATTCTTGACCAAAGAGGAGATATTTCAGACCAAAGTGGTCAGTGCAACAAAACGCTAATTTCAAAGACGGTTGCGAGAATAATTAGCTCTTATAGATTAAAACTACTTTTACGGATTTTGTCGCGTTTAATTTTAATTTTAATTATTTTCATTTTTAATTTTTGACGTGGGCGCTTTCCAGCACTCATGGTCACGGAGGACTGAGGTGACTGACGTCCCGATGTCATTGTTAAATCCGGAGTACTTTCAGCTTTTTTAATTATTTTTATGGTCCGATCTATGCAAAATGAACTGACTATGTCCTGAGGTCTTGCAGAGGTATGCTTGGGTTTAGTTTTAATTTTATTGATTATAGGGTCCCAAGCAGGTGGTAGTACCCAGCCTCCTTCTCTATTGAAATTAGGATGTTTTTTAATTTCGATAGCCTCACGTATTATCCTTGGTAGGAATCGGTGTTCTTTCGCGAGGATTTGTGGTCTATCACATCTGATGTAATGGTTGGGGCCGTCTAGGATATGATCACAAACTGCAGACTTCCCGAAACGTTGATGTTTCTCAGTCCCCCGTGACCATGGGTGCTAAAAAGCGCCCGAAACGTCGGGAATTAAAATTAAAAATAAAATTAAACGCGATAAAATCCGTAAAAGTAGTTTTAATCAATGTGTAGTGTTCGCGTAAATATAAGAAATCATTAATTAGCTCAACAAAAAACCAGCCCTCTCATCACCAGTGGCGAAGTCACGGATACGGTACCCCTTTAGGCACTTCACGGCACATAAATCCTACGGATCGATAGTCTCTATGGCAAATGGCAAAAATGCACCACTGCACCGCACTGCACCATTTACTCAGTTCAGCCTTCTCTGATGCCGTCCTGGCTCTAATCGTGGCACCTCGGATATATTAGGTTACCAAAGTGTTTACGCAGATACTATCTCACACTAGGGTTTTCCCTCTCTCGTAAAAAACCAAAGTCATAGGGCTTCCTTCCAACGTATAAAATATTCCACAACACTCTAAAATCGAAGAAACATTTATAGAAGTAAGAGCTCTTTGGATGACGTTGTTCTGAGACAGTGACGGGGCAACCTAACAGCACTTTTCTTACATGAAAAAATATATAGCTTTTTTCGGCTTTTAGTTTTTACCTGCCCTACTAAAAATGAGAGGAGGCTTGTGCCGTATATAGGCCGTATCTTTACTTTACTTCACTACCAAAAAATTGTCGGAAAAATACGTAGAATGAATTGTTTTTTTTTTAAATACTATAATTAATAATTACCCTTGAAATTATTCTATATATAATTCTTTATTTTTTGTACAGTGTTCTTGAGTTAGCCAGCGTGACGTAAGGTAATCCAAAAAATTACGTATTAGCAAATTGTATTTTAAATCATATAAAATTAATTAAGTGCTATGAATATAATATATATTCATAGCACTTAATTAATTTTATAAGCGTATTTTAGACAAAAAATTAACAAATTTTAATAGATTTTTTTAAACATTACGGACATACATAACATCGGAGCAACAACAAGGAGCATAGGGTAAAATTACATGCATTTAAATCTATTATGAATTATATTAGTAAAATTATAAATCATTATTAATATTAATTATATCAAATGCGTAAGTATTTATAGTAATATCGAAAATAAAATAATAATTTGATAATAATAATAAAATAACTTAAATCGATTTCACCGTTACATACACCATATCCGATTTAATTATATATTAACAAAACCACCAAAAAAACTTACCGTAATGATATAATATAATAATTATTGTTAAAAATACAACAAACATACCTGATGCACTATAGTAACGTGGGAGCCCCATCAACAATCTAAAAACGTTATTATATTGTGTACGTAGGGTGTTGTATGCCCGCCGCGTATATCTGACCCATAAGGCACACGTATAGAGGGATTGGCAATAGGCCTTAAATAAAATAACTTTTACCTCGGCTGTACAGCGTGAGAACCGACGGGCCAGCATATTGCAGCGGACAGCCAGCGCCTTCCTTTCTCTTTCAATGTCTTTATCATCTTTTAAATCTTTCTATACAACACAATAGTAATGTTACAGGTGGTACGAAATTTGGTTTCTTCGTGCCCACCTTAAACACTATGAGCTCATTCTTCGCAACATTAAATTTTAGACCATGGGCTTCTGCATAAACCTCACATATGAACAAAAGCCGTCTGAGTGCACTGACTGACGGGCTCAGAAGCACCATGTCTTGTCACTTCATGTCAGAGCAATGAAAATTTTACTTATATTATTGACTTAGAGGACATAAACTTGTCAACTAGAACATAGAAATGCCATTTCATCGTTTGTAAGGCAGGGCGTAAGCGTTAGCTCTCCACTCAGGTTTATTCCCTTGGCGTTTTAGGTATACCGGTATAGTGGTAAGTAGCATAGCAATATTCAACACCGGTTTATAATGCTTATGTGCTTAGTTTAATACGTGGTGGAATCATGTTGCAGCTGTAGTATAAATGCAAATCGAATAGGTCACCTCAATGGAGGAAAGAAGTAATGCTGCTAAATTACGCTGGTATACTGGAGGAGCGTAGCACAGTATACCATTGTAATAAATTCGCTTACTTTCAGGACACACACAAATTCTTAATCGAAGATAGATGTAGATGCCATTGGGTTCACAGAATACTCTTACCATCAAGTGGAAGTTTTTGCTCGATCGTCACCCTTATTCCGTAAAAAAATCAAATTTCTTAACTAAATGAAGGCGCTCTTGCAACTGTCAGATAATTGCAATTTTAGGAACCTATATGGTAAGTATACTACCTATTGTATACCTACCATATAGACGTGTTACTACCACTACCAGGTACTAACAAGTCCAATGGTTAAACACTAATAAAAAATACAATTGCGTAAAAATTTACGTGCATATGTGCCTAATACCAAAGCCGCCATTGTTACTTGAGCTTAGGGCCTGTATTCACTTTGATTAGTGATTAGTGCAGGTGATTAATGTAGGTGCTTAGTGATTAGGAGTAAATACGTGTGGACAGCGATTGATTAGTGCAAGTGATTAGTAATCTGCGTAGTGATTAGAAGCTAGTTCTATTTTTTTGCGAGTAGACTGCAAGTATCCACGTCCCATGCGTCCTCCCTTCCCCCTCACTCGCAGTATGTCCTTTACTAAATACATCTGGACAAGTGTTTAGCGTTTAGCGTCGGACGCTCGTTTGTGTTGCAAAAATAGAAAAGTGGACCGAAGACATAATCTATAATTTTGTGCAGGAGTATCTAAAAAATGAATGTCTTTACAGTAGTAAATACCCTAACCGCAAAATTAAAGGAGCCCGAGATGTGGTATTTCTATGTATAAGTGAAACTATGAACATACCGGGGTTCGGAAGTAAAGAAGATTATACTAAAATAAAAAACTTGAGATCTAAATATTCGTAAGAGGTTAGGAAAGTTAAACAGAGAACTTGCTGGTCAACGGCTTACAACTGAATTTACTAAACAGAGTCACTAAGCAGAGTTGGACCCTACTTACACTACACACCTGCGTTAATCACCCACAATTACTAATCACCTGCACTCACACTAATCAAAGTGAATACAGGCCTTCCAGCTAAATTTCCAAAAAGGAAAATACCCAATCTACATTCCCAATACAGTATTGTATTGTTTAAAGAGCCAGTCCACACTTCATGGCTGGACTTGGGTCTCTCCACCACCGGCGAATTGGCGGATTAGCGAATTCGATGACAGACATCTCGCATCTTAGACACTGCTTTTAATCGACATCCTAAAGACTTTGTATTCGATAAACCTTCTGGTACTTTCCTTAAATCACCTTAAACTTTTTTTACGTGGTAGAGCTATGCTGCAGCTATATTACGATTGTAGCACGAATTGGGAAGGACCACGCTCTCACAAAATACCACCGTAAAATAGCAACTCAGTGCTGTTGCGTTTCTTATGGTGTGTGTATAAATGGGAGACACTTTTTACTGAAAACGAGGCATTTCATCTTAGTCCTCAGGGTTGGCAACGCATCGGCATTTTGATTCTTAAACAAATTTGATGATAAATGTAGATTTCTATGGGCCACGGCATCCACTTACAATCAATTGAAACGTGTGCTCGTTTATCACCCTTATTCTACATAAAAACGCCACTTGTGGGACATCACGATATGTGTACAAATCAAAATAATAATTTACGATCTTTAATGACACTGGGAAAGATTTTTAAGCTGAATTGTAAAACGAAATAATGTATTGTCGATATTTCCCATAACATTCATACAATAACAAAGACTACTTTTGTTGAGTTTTGACCGATTTTGGTTGGTTCAACTTTTTTTTATTAATGGAAATAATTTTATTATTATTATTTTTAAAACGTATTACTTAGTTACTCTAGTGTAACTTATTTTGCTAACATCTACTTGAACATCTACGGTTAAAAAAACGTAATTTTTTATAATTTAAAATAAATAACCAGTTGAAATATCTTTTATCATACGACAGTTATATTTTGTAATTTAAATCGGAACGTTCTTTTATATTAAGACGTGGTCATATAGCAATTATGAAAAAATATTTTTAATAATAAATATTTTATATTTTTACATTAAATTTATTTTAAATGCATAAAAATTCTATATTACTTACGTTGCTCTTTATATAGAGTTCTTGTATTTACACTTACTAGTATCACTAACACAAACAACGTTAGTATAAAAAAAGTATTCAAAATATACATCTCCATTTAGAACAGATTCTCACTGAATAATTTAATAAACAATTTGAAATATTTGAAGTTAAATTTACAATTTTCAATAACTAAAATAAAATCATGTCAGTATTTACACTATATAAAATTAAATTATTTAAATATTAAAACAATATTACACTGCAACGGCCGCTATGATACTACCAAGAGAGATCTTTTAGAGACAGTTTAAAAGTGCAATTCGAATAAGGCATAGAGGCGGGTGTAGAGTTGACATTGGCCGTAAAATTATTTAGGTCACACTTCGACGAATTGATTTGGTTCAATTTATAAATATTACGTACGTTATATATTCCATTTAAGTAAATATGTATAATAATACCTGAATATTGAAGACATGTTGTACGATTCTTAATATTTATCAAAGGAGGGCATGAAACTTATATCAGAAACACAAATAAAAGTCAATATCATGTGTATATTTTATTTACTAATGCGTGTACATTATGATCAAGTTCATGGGTTCATGCTCTGTAATTGGTCATATTTAGATAACCAGCGACACTAGTTATAATTAATATGCCTTATCATTGACACAGTTGTGTTTACTATATTTTTGCGATTTTAAAAGAATACGAAATATGTTTTATTTGATGTTGAAATTTCTTCTTATTGAAACAAATGTTACTTTTTTATTTACTAGAATATAAATTCGAGGTTGGACGGGTAAGCAGGGAAAGCGCAATACAAGGTCAATACGTGATTTATTGATTCAATAATTTCAATTATAAATTGCAATTATTTGCTTTGCGTTTAAGTGGATGAATATTTTATTTAAATAAGTTCATATAAACGTAAACACTCAAGCCTGTTACCCAGAGGGGTAGACAGAGACTAAAGACTTCCATTTAGCACGATCATAACATACCTCTCGCCTTCCCCACATCCATATACCTACGCATACATGCTCGTCGGTTCAGGGTTCTCTTAATTTGGCCTATTTTTAATATATTGCCAATTTGGTCAACAAACTTTCGGCTAGGACGTCCCTTTCCGACTCTTCCTTTCACTTCTGCAACATATATTTGCTTTGTCAGTCTTTCCTCATTCATTTTTTCTACATGACCAAACCACCGAAGCATTCCTTTCATAATCCTGGTCACCGCATTATCTTACAAACTACACACTTCTTTTATCACACAGTTTCTCACCCTGTCACTCAGATTCAGCCCTAACATACTCTTTAGTGACCGCATTTCTACTGAATTTATTCTACTCTCGTGCTTCTTCTGCCACACCCAACTTTCACTACCATACGTTAAAGTAGGGTAGGGCACTACATACTACAGCACTGTGAATTGCAAATTGAATTAAATAAGTAATAAGTAGCCGCAATTAAATAGTATATGTAAAAAGTAACCGCGATCATGGCGGTGTATAATATCCACTTCAGCAGCGAAAAGAAAAGGGTAGATCTCCCGTCGAGCAAGATATTCAGGCTGGGCCTCGTGTGGTAGTACGGCATTATTCTATTTATATTGCAGTACTTCGGAACTTGAGAGCCGTAGTTAATGCTCGCTATAAATATAACAGAACACGAGTAACCTAGTTTCGATCGCCGCCGGAACCAATAAAATTGTTAATTGCAATTTTAAGTGCTCGGCGGTGAAGGAAAACATCGTGAGGAAACCTGCATATCTGAGGAATAAGAAAAAAATATTTCCAAGACATGTGAAGTTCGCCAACACGCATTGGGGTAGCGGGGCGGATATTTCCTTGCCCTAAAACCCTCTGGGTTGGTTGGTGGTTTGGTCATGTAGAAAGAATGAATGAAGAAAGACTGACAAAGCAAATATATGTTGCAGAAGTGAAAGGAAGAGTCGGAAAGGGAAGTCCTAGGCGAAAGTTTGTTGACCAAATTGGCAATATATTAAAAATGGGCCAAATTAAGAGTACCCTGAACCGACGAGCATGTATGCGTAGGTATATGGATGTGGAGAAGGCGAGAGGTATGCTATGATCGTGCTAAATGGAAGTCTGTAGTCTCTGTCTACGCCTCTGGGTAACAGGCTTGAGTGTTTATGTTTATATGAACTTATTTAAATAAAATATTGATCCACTTAAACGCAAAGCAAATAATTGCAATTTATAATTGAAATTATTCAATCAATAAATCACGTCTTGACCTTGTATTGCGCTTTCCCCGCTTACCCGTCCAACCTCGACCTCTATATTATACAATGTAATGCATTGTTAGTATGGTTGTTCTAGAATGTAAATTTTAACCTATCATCTTATGAATTATGTTCATACAAAAAAGTAAAACAATCATTTCTTTTAATTTGACTTCATATGAAAATTAGATTTCCCTAGATTCAGAAAGTCAAAAAATTGCTTTGCACATTAATGCTTCAAAAAACTAAAATTATAACCAAAATCCACAAGGAAACAAACAAAATAGAAAGTAAAGTGACAGAATAGGTAGGAGTAGGTCAGGAAATTCAACTAATAAGTGACTAATGGAGTTTGATGCAAACGGTAACGAACATAAAGTGAAATTTAAAAGGAAACCACTACTTTTAAATAAAAAGATAATAATAGAGTTTTGCATCCTTACTAGACTTATTTACGCCAACATAAAATATGAGTATATACCGAAAAAATCCTGTCTTGTCAACACGCAACGGAAAGAAGTACACTAAAGCTTTGGAAAACACAAAAAACAAGAGAAAAATTGATACATATTGGAAAGAAAAAAAGAACAGATGCCCTTTAGTACAGTCTAAGTCATACACGGATGGGTAAGGTGTATAGATAAGTATAATAACAAGAAATGGACTCATTAAACATAATAATAGCTGAATGTGACAGGCAAAACACGTGTGTGATGACAGAAAGGAAGAAAATTATTCACATATAATAATAAAAATAAACGGAGGTTTGCGATGCTTTCACCCGTGGAACAACATACATTTACAACAATAAAACTAAAGTATTACCTTGTTTTAAAAAGTGTGGGAATTTAAAACTATAAAAATAATAAATTAAAATAGTTCTACGACTCCGTAGCATTATTGTCCTATAAATCCCCGTCGATATGAAGTAATTCCCAGCCGATTGAAATAGCGCAGTGGTTGTGCTCTCAGCTTCCTTGTAATTGCCCTCTAGTGTGTCATTACATAATAATATATGATGCGTCATGAAAACAACGTGTACAAATAATAATATAATTATTATAGTTGGATCTAGCTTTAACTTCAGAAAACATTAAAATAAAAGTACTTTACACCATGTAAAATAAAATCAAAAAAAAAAATATGAGTATATATATATATATATATATATTCCTCCCTGTTCTCCAAAAAAATGGAGTCCATTGTAAACTGCCAGCTCATGAGGTACCTTGAGGATCACCAGCTGATTAGTGACTGCCAATACGGTTTTCGCCGTGATCGGTCAGATGGTGATCTTCAGGTCTACCTAACTCACAGATGGACGGAGGCAGAAGAGTCCAAGGGGGAGGCATTGGACGTTAGTTTGGACATTGCGAAGGCCTTCAATCGGGTTTGGCACAAAGCGCTTCTTTCGGAGCTCCCTTCCTATGGGCTTCCCGAGAAATTGTGCAATTGGATCACCAGCTTTTGCATTGTAGACAGTGCAAGCTCCGATTACAAGCCTATTAATGCTGGTGTTCCACAAGGCTGCGTGCTATCGCCAGCGCAGTTTCTTCTGCATATCAATAATATGTTGCAAACCCGTAACATTCATTGCTATGCAGATGACAGTACTGGTTATGCTCTTTACACCGGCCGTGCCAATATTTCTCGGGAAAACGTCTCCGAGTACCGGGACAAACATGGGTCTGAAGTCGAGTCTTTGCTGAACAGAGTCTCGGATTGGGGGCGACTAAATTTTGTCCAGTTTAACCCCCAGAAGACACAAGTTAACCCCTAAAAAGAACCCCTTTGTTATATCTCCTCAGTTTCAAGGCACTCCCCATTTTGCCTCAGCCAGTATCGGAATCCTCGGCGTTGACATATCGAGTGACGTACAGTTTCGTGGTCACTTGGAAGAGAAGGCCAAATTGGCCTCTAAAAAGCTTGGCGTGCTCAGCAGAGCGGGACAGTATTTCATGCCGGCACACCGCCTGCAACTTTACAACGCGCAGGTTCGGCCGCACATGGAATACTGTTCCCATCTCTGGGCTGGGGCTCCCCAGTACCAGCTCATTCCACTTGACCGCATCCAGCGCAGAGCGGCTCGAATCGTCGACGACCGCGTGCTTTCCGATCGGCTCGATTCACTGGCACTGCGAGGAGTGTTGCATCTCTTTGCATTTTCTTTCGCATATACCATGGAGAGTGCTCTGAGAAATTGTTCGGATTCATCCCAGCCGCCAAATTTCGTGAATGCACCACGCGGCAAACGTCAACGCGGCGGTCCACCACTGTACGTTTCAAAAGGAGTTTTCTTCCGCGTACAACCTCTCTGTGGAATAGTTTACCACGGGCGATTTTTCCGGACCTATACGACCTGGAGACCTTCAAGAAAAGAGCTTACTCCTTTCTAAAGGGCCGGCCACGAACCTGCAATTCCTCTTGCGGTTGATCATGGGCGGCGGTAGTCACTTAACATCAGGTGAGACATGCTCGTTTGCCCCCTCTTCTATAAAAAAAATTATGATAGATTTTGTAAAAATATTGATTCTGTTTATAAAATTGCATTATAAATTTTATATTTCAATTTTAAGAATTATTTTTCGCCTGTGCCTCAAATCTGCAAAATGCTGTCCGCCTTATTTGTTCATGTTGTGACGTCACTGATCCTGTCTAAGGGTATTAGTGTTCTGTGTCACTGATTAAGAGAACTAGCTACCCTGCTCTGTTATTTTGAATTTTGTCAATTTATCATTACGAGTATTGAGTTTTATTTAGAATTTTATTGAAAAGGCACCATGGAAGACGAATTCGTAAAAGTAGAAATT